CCCCGCAGCGCCCTGCTGGGACCCCGGGCTGCTCCAGCGGCTGGGGCGGGTGCGAGGTCGGAGTCCCCGCAGGACGGTGCAGCGGCCGGGTGTCACGGCGCGGGGAAGGCGCCGAAGGGGCGAGCGGGGAGCTGCGGTGTTCGGCTCTCCGCAGGGGCCGTCCCCTACCTGCCTTGGTGCGGTGGGCCCGGCGGAGCGGGAGGGGAAGGTGGCCGGGAGCTCTTGGTTCGGCAGTGGCGAACAGACGGGCAGAAGGACGCACAGACAATTCAGCGTGCTCCGTTTCCAAGGGAAAAATCAGCTAAAATCAATGGTCTTTCTTAGGGACACACTTTCTCCTGTATTGAATAAATCTGTATGCTATTCTTCAGAAACCATGCAGATTATTCACCACTTTTACCTTTTATTCCTTCGGAAATGAAATTGAGAGCTACTTTTTGTGTATGCATCTGTCTCTGCATCTCCCCCAACGGTCTGTAAGAATAATAATACCTTGCAAGTATATAATTTCTAAAATTTTTTAATGAAAAAACACTTATACGTGGAATGGTACGATTATTTTTTTTTCTCTTATTTATGAAGGTTTTTTTAAGGAAAGGCAGGCACTACCATGGAAAGAAACCAATGAAGCAACCACTCAAAGTGTTTGAAAGTAGCACTTCCATAAAATCCCAAATCTTAAAGATTAAATTCAGGTAGTCCCACTAATGCTTTTTAGATAGACTGAGGCAAAAAATGGACTTTTGAGACAATCTGTCATCCTTAAAATCGACGTTTTTAATAACAAGATTGTTGCAAAATGTATTTTTCTTCATATGTGTATTCTAGTTAACTGCGAACCACAATTGTGTCAGTATTCTGTCATCAGATTAGAAATTTACCTGTTTTTCTGCTTTTGCTTTAGAAAATAAGCATCAAAGGCCTTGTCCAAAGCTGGACTGCAACAACAGGAACTTGTCAATTAAACAGACTCAAATCAAACTCGCAATTACAATTGGTTAGCAATTTTACTTAAAGTTTCCTTCAGTGGGAAAAAATATGAAACTTCTTGTTTGAAAGTTTCACTGGGAAAGACTTCTCAGCTTCCAGATGGAATTTCTAGTAAGAACAAGTGAGGTAATCACTCTGAACTAGTCTCTCTTGAGGTGTGGGAGTTTCAGATTTGAGCTCCTGCTTTGCCTGTTCCAGGCCCTCCCACATCTTGCAGAAATAGGCTAAGGATTGGAATATAAATTGGTATCTCTTTTTCTAGACAAGTTAAAATTTAACTATTTATCAACCTAAATGCTCCAAAAGAGATTGATAGAAAGCCTCTCTTGTTCCTTTTCCTCTACAAAGTGTCCTCTGTTTCACAGTAACTAATTCCCAAGTGAATTATCCTGTGCAAGATTAGGTAAGGTTTTATTCTAACAGAAAAAGATGTTTGAAAAGGGACTTAAGTGAATCGTATAATAAGGAACATAAACATTTGGTTAAATTAACAAAAAGCAGAGTTACCTCCTGGTCTAAATATTTAATTTAAAGGAGTTGTGCAAAATTAGTACTAACATTAGCATTGTTATCTAAAAATCAGATAGCATGCAAACAACTCCATAACCCATAGAGCCATACAATGAAACAGCTTTAATTAATCAGAATGAAAATCATGCCGATGACCTCTCTCTCTAACTAGCTGAGTTGGATTTATAGTCTCTACACAGCAACAGAACTACCCAAAGGAGAATGAAGACCCAGACTCTGGAGCTGATGGCTCTTCTACACATCCAAGGGCAGCAGTGTTTGTGAGTCTGTGCTTAATATCCTTGTACGCTTCCTTTCTTTGTCCCCTGTTCTACAGTCCTCCGCTGTATTCCTGCACCTATGTACAACTCCTAATCCTACGGCAATTCAGCACTTCCTATCTGCAAGATGCTTGTCAGAAGTTTCTAGACAACTTTCTGGTCTTCTTGCTGAGGTGTTGCACTCCCAGCAAAGTTGCAGGCGCATAGGCCGGAAAGTTGTTAAACTTCAAACTCCTGGCAAGGCACACGCCTGTGTATGTGACACTATAACAGCGAATAATCATGTTTTCTTTCCATTTTATATTGTGGCAGCTGTGTTCAGAAACTTTGAATGCAACACTGTCACCTATATTCTGGATTTTATTGTAACTGATAGTACATATATAGTACCCCTCTCCCCAATCTGAGTAAAAATTGAGTAAATGAGCTTGAACTGTATCACAAATAATATGTTTTAAACCATTGGCTCTGAAAGTTCTGTATGACTTCAGGGATGACTGTGAAAAGGAAATATTTCACATTAATAGGTAACCTAAATACTTTTTGTCCTTATTAAGTAAAGAAGGCTACAGAGAGAGTACAGTCTTGGCTGTCATAATAGAGAAATGGAGTGTAACTGGCTCTGTTCAGTAGTTCATCTCGACAATGTATGACTTGGTTCTTGACTTGACAACACTTCAGAAAAACCTGGTCTTAGTTACTCAGTAAAAGGCAAACCTTGGTTCACTGCTTTAGGGTGTTAAGTCCCCCAGAATTACTAACCTTCCTCAATACTAGAAGTTTCTGTTCCTGTAGAAGGGGCAACAGAATGGAGCATGAGCCTATTCCTCAGTCCCCCAGTGCAAAGCCCAACAATGTAAGACAGTTTTACGATCAGTTGTTTTGGTGGCTCATTCCTGGCTAGTCATTCATGCGTGTGTGTCCTTGCTCACTTGTGCTGGTACAGGTGGTGAAACTGTTGAAACACAGAGTGAGTTAAATCACATAGAGAGGAGAAAAAAACCACTAAGAACGGCTGAACTGAAACACAGCTGGGAGCACTTCCCTAGGCAGCAAGGCTGGCTTAACAGGTTCCCAGCCTCCACTGCTCATTCTGATGCCCACGCTGTTCCTGTTCGCTGCCCCCTCAGTTGGCATATGGATGTTTATGCAAGCTGTGATCACGAAAGCAGTCTCAGTTACACCTACAAATATATCCCAGCCCCCTCCAATATGTATTTTTTAATTCTGACCCATTTCAGGGACCCGGTTTGTGGTCTGTCCTCAAAACAATTGTGCTTGTAAACCTTTTGGGGAAATTATGGGGTGGGTGAGAGGGCCAGGGCCAGGAATGTCACCTCTTCAGCCACCTGGGGAAGAATAATTTGAGATTACTTACTCAGGAAACAGCCGCGTTGTAAAGTGGCAAGGGAGTTTAGACAAAGAGTGATACAGTTTATTTTTGGACATCATCACGGGAACAACAATAAGCAATCTTCACCCAAGGCCAGTGTACCACGCACAGCTCCTGCAGGGTCAGTTCCAAGAAGGGGCTCGTTCCACCTCCCGTGGTGCCGCCCCATGTGTGCCAGAATCTGCTATCAGCTCTTGACCAGAAAGGGAGTGCCTTTCTCCAAAACCTTCCAGTTCTATATACCTCTCCAGTCTTTATTTGGTAATTTCCTTCAAGCATGTCAAAAAACAGGATATGTACTTTCCCTCAGGCAGGCGTATTTTTCCAGAAACAATTCTGAGTTGGGGAACTGACTGATGCAGTAGCAAAATTTGGCCACGGGTACAAACTGGCCCTGTGTAGTCTGGAAATTAGAAGAAAGTTGCTGGTACTAGACGAGCGAGGAGGGCAAATAACCTCTCGACAGAATAGAGGAAAAAAAAATCTAATTACTTTTAAGTTAGAGCACGGTTATGAAAGGAATTATACAACAGCAGGGCCTCTGAGGTTTGTTTCTCCCCACATCCTTTAAGGAATGTTCAGAAAGGCGCATGTGACTGCCCACAACAGCACACTGTCCTAACGGGAGTTACTGGAAGCGGCGTAAAGAACCGTGCCGGTGGCTGGCCGAGAAGGCAAAAAAGCTACACAGTGCAGACTTGTGACTTTGAAAATTTGAAGCCAAAGCACAGAACGATGCAATTCAGGCTTCCAGCGTACAGGGAGACGGCTGCTCGTCTACCAACAGACCGTGTTTGGGGGTGAGGGCTTTTCCAGTGACACCCCGCGTGGCATTCATCCTCCGCACGCAAACGCCCGTAGGACGGGCACAGCCCGCCGGGCCGCCGCGAGTGCTGCGCGGCCGGGCGCTGCTG